GAGAACGCTTGCCAGGTGGAAACCCACCACGTCCTGCTACACTGCTGCCAAACTATTAGCTGGAGCGGGATAACCGCGAACCACCCAGCTGGCACCAAGTGGAGGTTGTTCGGCAAGCCAGCTATTGAAACAAAGTCGTGCTTCACTAACTTACTGGGCTTTTTGATGAGATTACTCGGTGTCTTGATGACGGGATCCCGGTAGAAGTGTGCTATCTCGACTTTTGACTCAGTAAATTATCGTTTTTTAATTGTGAAGTTGACATGGTTTGGATTGTATCCTTAATTTCTGTCATGAGTATCGCAATTCTTTTGTGGGAGAACGTTTCCAGTTAACATCAATGATATCAGTTCCCGTACAAACAACCTGGATCCTTTTCTTGTAGACCCCTACTGTATCTGCGGATGATTTAAAGCATGTCAGCAGGTGTAACCCAACAACACTAACCAAAGATATCATCAATGTGGTTACTTGATCGAAGCGATGGGATTTGCCCATGAACGTTAACAGATGTCAAGTATTGACCACTACTGAAGGCAGGATTGCATTGCAGAACTCATCTGCAGTGCACTAAAAGGGCACATGATTTAGGCGTCATCGTAGTTGCCAATTTCAAGCCTTCGGTGCAGTGTCGATATGCTGCCAACAAACTGTGACAATAATTGCTTCGCCTAAAGAGAGCACTGTTTGACACCAAGCCTGTAGTTTTACCATTGTACCAAGCAGTGGTTAGGCCACACCTGGAGTAATGTTCCGTCTTTGTTCCGCTATCTTTGTGGTGATGTTACTTGCACTGAACGTATTCAGAAACTGGCAATCAAGATGATTTAAGATCAACATGGGAAGTCGTATGAAGATCAACTAAAGAGCTTCGGGTTATTTTAGCTAGAGCGGCATAGACTAGATGATCTGATACAGACGTTTGTGATAATGAAGGGCCTCAATGGCGTTTAGCTTACTGATTTGTTTGAGCTGGCTGCTTCCAAACACTTGCGCGCACGTCGTTTGAAACTCAAGCAGCAGAGGGCTAAATTGGACATCAGGGCGAAGTTTTTCGCGAACCGTGTGATACGCAGCTGGAATAAATTACCCCCTGAGTTAGCTGACTGCGAGAATGTAGTAGCCTTCAAAAGAGGTCTAGATAAGTGTTGGTCATATCTTCTTTCAGAACTAATGTATTTTTTGAAATTTAGCAGCAAGACCTCGTGCAGTGATAGTTAACGTTGATCCTTGCAATCGCAAGGATTGCTCTAGTTCTCTCTCCATTTCTTTTTGCAAAAACAAGGAGAGAGGATCAAACTTCGAAGAGCTGGGGCTCTGCTTCGCTTACCAGTACAAGAAGCGGTACGTAATAATAAATGAAATAATACATAAATCGCGAGCTGTACGCCGTGACGGGGCCTCGCTGCCACGCGACCACCACCAGTCGCGCGTGGGCTGAGTATACCGCGAGAACGCCCGCGCCTACGCGGGACGTTCTTTAGGCAGAAGCCTGTGTTGTCCTTGGATTTTGACCTGACCTGGCCTACTGAGTGGTTATGATGTGAGCATCCAGCCACGCACGAGATATTTTCATTACAACTCCCCAGGTCTACAACGACCTACGCACGCACTGGACACGGAACCTCCCGCAATCCTCGACCGGACACATGTTACATGTTTGGCGACACTACCAGTTCCCGACAGCAGTCCATGAAGCTGGATCATTGTCATTGCGGCGCCTTTTAATCGTCTCCGTTTATGTCCCTACTGACTACAGTTCGGTGGGTACCAAAGATGTTTTCTGCTACCAGCTTTCATTTCTTCTCCGCATGGTGAAATACTGACATCGTGATTGTGGCTGGTGACTTGAATGCCCAATTTGGTCTTCTTTCAGATTCTGAACAACAGCTGGGAGAGCGCTTCGGAGTCGATGCACACCGAACAGGCAGTGGTGATCGATTCCTGCAACTGCGCGCTGAACATAAACTTTGTATTAGCAGCACTGGTTTCCGGCACAAACCTTCACACCGCGTTACCTGGCGCCCACTGAAATCCTTAATGACCTGGACCCTAATTGACAATATTGCCACCAGATACAGGTGGCGCACATTAGTTCAAGACTGTCGATCAATTTGGAGCACATGCTTGGATTCCGACCATGCTGTAGTGCGCGCACGCTTGAAGTTCACTCTCCCCACTTCAAAGAAGCACTTATCTCATAACTTCCTTACCTGTAACTTGACCTCGCATTCTGCGGTTTATCATAACGAACTAGCCCACCAATTTCAGTGATGACTGAGGTTGGTGAGCGAAATCTGACGGTGATCATCTCAAATGTGTCATGAAGAACGCCTTCGACGCTTGCTCTGCACCCGACTTTAGACGTCGTAATTGTGAATGTATCTCTGAAGCATCGATAAGCTTGATCGAAACGCGTAAACGGGTTCCGATAGCGCTGAGTTTCAGCGCGTCCCTAACTCCCTTAAACGACGTCTGACAAGGAGTCTTCTAATTGACCGGGAACGGTGGTGGGCTTCAAAAGCCCGTGAGATGGAGAGTGCCAGCGCTATCGGAAACAGCCGAATGCTATTCCACCTCATCCGGAACACGGGTCCGAGAAAGCCATCGGTTAGCGCGACAATAGCTGAGAAAGATGGACTTTTGATCCATTCTCAGCGTGGTCGACTAGCCTGTTAGGGGGAACATTTTAGGAAGCAGTTCGGCAGATCTGCTGCGACACTGCCGCTTGCCGAATCACAAGAAACGGCGTAAGGAGTATGTGTCACACCTCCCACTTTAGAAGAAATTCCACATGATCTCGTCGTGTTAAAACGAAACGAAGCTCCTGGACCCAACGACCTTCCTCTCTGTTTGCTGAAGGATGGCGGCGACTCTATTGACTGGACTTGCTTTACTTTTTAACTCGATTTGGAACACTGAAGAAGTGTATTCAGACCGGTGACTATCAACTATTTTGCCCATTTTCAGGAATGGTTAGCGTACTTTGTACGAAGTTCATCGAGGCATTAGCCTTATTTCCGTTGCTTCAAAACTTCTCACGAGTATCATCCTTCGATGAAATATTGATCCGCGTGAGGACCGAATCAATGAAAGCCAGGCTGGCTTCCGCCATGGCCGTGGTTTTATCGATCACACATTTACCCTTCGCCAAGTAATAGAACAGACGCACACATACAGACGACCGACTAGGTGGTTTTCCTTGACTTGAAAGCCACTTCCAACTCTGTTGACCGCGCCAGTTTGTGGCACTATCTATCCATGAAGGACAGTTCTTTCCATTCTGAAGTCCCTTTACCATGATTCCCGAGGCCGTGTAAGTGTTTACGCGAAAGCGTCCTGAGTTCCCCACGAGAAGTGGGGTTCGCCAGGGTTGCCCCATAGCTTCTTTTCAACTCAGAATGATGATGAATGACTCGATTCTTTCAGACTATTCTGAGGTGAAAGTTCTGCATTGCGACCAATTGAAAATGGAGTATGCGGAAGACATTGCTCTTCTTAGGCTATGCAAACACTACTACACAGACTTGTGCGTAGCGCTACACGGTTCTGCATGTACTTTGCACTCTCAAAATGCAAAGTGCTTGCAGGACTGGGCCGACACACCTTCGGTTTTAACTATTTCCGAACGGTCACTGGAATGGGTGAGTCGGTTCACTCACCTTGGTAGCTGTGTCGCCTCTGGTGGTCACATCGCTGAGGAATTTACTTCGCTTATCAGCAAGGCCCGTGTGGCTTTCCAGAGGTTCAACCATCTATGGTGACGACGACATATCAGCTTGACAGTGAAAGCTAGGGCGTATAACGCTGTGTTAAGGCCGGTGTTACGGTATGGATCAGAGATCTGGCCAGTCCTTGGTGGAGAAATTCAACGTTTGGCCGTGTTTGACCACCGGTGCTTGCGAAGTATTGCTCACGTCTGGTGGGGACACCGGGTGAGCAATGTTGAGGTTCACCAGTTGGTTTTTGCAAGAAGCCTTCTTGTGCCTCATTCGGGTGTTTATTGAATCTTAATGGTTTATGTTGGCTAGGCCATGTCCTCCGTATGCTCGTTGATCGGCTCCCTCGGCGAGAATTATACGCTGTCGCCGCGCCAAGTTCGGCGAAACCGCGAGGTGGCCAGTCATGACATGGCATAGAACCTTGAAGAAATTGACTGAGTGACTTGGTCAGGCTAGTGCGCGCCGTCTTCCTGGATGGAGACCTCTTGACGGCTCACTCCAATGATTGGAGACCGTGTCAGACGGCGCAGTCACGAAGTCAGTGACGTTCCTGCATTCGGCTTCTGTGATCTGCTTGTTAATTTGCGTTCTGTTTTGATTAGTCTAACGCATTTCCTTCTTTTCGTTTTTCTACCTATTTTCGCCCATCCCCAATATCCTACCCTTGTTATTTATTGTCATTCTTACGCTATGAGTCGTGGCAGTTAGATCCACCGCACTTCGGTGCTCGGATCATAGTTGTCTAACTGAATTGAATCGAACTGAACTTGCGACGATCCCTAACTTTCCAGTGACTACACTGCTCGTCGTAGAATCTCTCGAACTTATCAGATTCAAATTCAATTGGGGTATAAACACATGGAGAATCCCGTGGTCCTTCCTTCCTGAATACGTCGTTGGTCCGCGTTCGAATTCGGTGTATGATTGGCTAGTTGTATGTGCCAATCGTCGTAGCCAACCATTCAAAAGCCACACGCCCTGCACTAACAGTCCCCGCTACACCGGCCACGTGCTCGTAAGTTGTGTTTTGCCTCAGTAGGTCGAGAGCGGCTAGGATTTTCGAAAGCGTTGAGGACAACACTTGTCAACAAGTGGGATAATGTAGCAGGTACTAGCGTTATCGTATAGCGATCCATAAGGTAAGGAGATCGTTGTGCCTCGTTTAGACGGGCATTGATACTTCCCCTTCTCTTTGCCTTCTCGTTTCGTTTACTGTGGTCTCTGACTAAGTGGTGGTGATCTGAGCATCCAGCCACTTACGAGGTATTTGCTTTTCATTGCAGCATCCCAGGTCTACAACGACCTACGTACGCACTAAACACGGAACCTCGGAATTGTTGACGGGGCGCATAGTACAGCTATGGTGCTTTCAACGTGCACATCGGCCACGTTTGCGTCGTGGGCTACTGATGTTACAAAATGCACGAATCCAACTTTTGACAAGGTGTTAACGTCCAACTGGAGCAATTTTAAGGCACAACAGGATGTGTTGACTGTTCTTAGAGCCATTACCAAAGTTATTCAGGATCGTGGAGGCAGTGAGTCATCGACAGAATACTACGCCTCGCTGGTAAGTTTTTTTGTAATTGTAATATTTTTCAAGCTTACCGCTCTAAATACTCCATCCGAAACGAAAGCCGCTGAGTCATTTCTGTTAAAGCTGGTGTTCAAATCGTAAGCTTTTTTGACCATTGATTTTCTTTTAGCTTGCCTGACAGTGTTCTGCGCTCAACATTTGGCGAAGCGTCGAAAATAATTGTTCATGCTTTGAACATGTGTCTCTCTTCAGGCAGTGACGATGTGCCTCAGATTAAATCCGTATGTTTTTCCCTTCCGAATTGATGCCCACTTAAGCTGCTCGTTTGCCTAGGTCATCTTCTTTGTGCACAGTCTCCAGATTCTTGGTCAATTGAATCTGTCAGGCATATGTATAGGCATTTACTACGTTTCGTTGATCACGAAAAACCGGCGATCCGCAAGGCGATCCATGTGTCTGTTCACAACATTTTAAACGTTAACCAAGTTAATTTGGAGACCTCTCGTTTCCATCCCGCTTGTCACCAAACAGTGGAGCATCTGTGCTCCATAGTAAAACAGCAATCTCGGTGAGCGCTTTGTGTTTGCATTCATGTATATTTTTAAGGAACAAGATTATTCTCGCGCCAGTTCTTTGTTGCATGACGCGTACTTACTACTAATAATAATGGGTGAAAGACTGCTTACTAGGATTGACCAATGCGCAGACCCATGGGACATGGGTTACATTATTCCTCCATATTTATGCGTGATCTCTACTACCTGAATATTGCGTGAGGGCTTGAGGTTACAAACACCCAAAGCGATTATTTCCATGGAAATTGTCCACCACGTTCCTAGGTATTTGGCCGTTGTCTATATATATATATATATGTGTATATATATATATATATATGTATATATATATATATAAGATGGTAACTGTCTGTGTACTAGACATACAGTCATCGAAAACCATGAACTGAATGTTTGGGATAATTACAAAGATCACAGATAGAAACGATTTAAATAGGGTGTTTTGTGTTTATACCCGTTTTGTTCTCTTGTAAGTTTAATGATTATGTTGTTGATCCGTATAACCAGTACATAAACTTCATACAACTCTTTCCTTAGCCTATGAAGACTGAGCTAATCTTTTATATGTCGAAGTGCCTGGGGCTGTGAGCTGTTTAGAGGCACACGAAACAGAACGCCCGTTAGGTGAAAGCCTGTTTCATGCCTTGCAACTGACCGGATCTGGCCCGATCTCGCGCCATGTCCTTCAGTGCGTTCTTCATCCTTAGCTCCTGAGTCCGGAAAACATAAAGTTCGTCAGCTGTACGCCGTAACGTCACTTCACTGCTGCACGCCCATCACCAGTCCTGCGTGAGTTGAGTATACCACGAAGACCTCTGCCCCTAGACTAATACGAACTGGTGACCTTATTATAACAAGCCAGGCGTGCAAACCACTGGGCCACCGGCCGAGCCCCGAATACATGCAACAGTCACAATAGCTAAACGATAAATCTCGGGGACACTTTGACAGGATGTGGTATGCTTACCGTCGCGTGATTTCTTCTAACGCGGACCTACGCGAGCGAATAGCACATTGTGGTAATTGCTCGTATGACATGCGCAGACATGTTCCCGCCGTGTCAGTTGGCGCAGCAGTACTAGCCTGTCAAAAGGGAGACCCGCATGACCTTAGGCGTGACGTCTAACGTCCTCTTTGCGAACGTGATGTTTTCACCACACACGAGCTATCCTCAGCCGACAACCATTACTAAAGGCCGAAATCTGACGTCATATTAACGAAAATCCACAAGAATTCACTTTCATACAACATTGCAGCGCAAACGCAGGCACTGCAGACCTGCCATTGTCAGGATACGTATGATCGATTGGGCTCACCAGAATATCGCATACTTCACTTGGTAGTTTCAACCTCACTACTTCCCGGTCGTCTCCCATGGGCGATGCTACATCCTTAACTTGTCTCTTACTGGTCTTGTGTATGCAGTCATTGATTTCTTGAATTAGAACAACTAGTGAATCTGGACTATGCGTGCATCATTGTCTTGCGAATTGGAAGTCAGGGGACGTCACAGTTCCACGCGCGAAACATGGTTAAGGCGCCCCGCCTTCCACTGAACTCCGTGTTACTACATCAATCGCTACCTTTTTCCTTCAAACTTTTGCGTCCACGATTTTTCCGTTTTCATTTACTACTTGCCAGACCGTATTTTCTCACTTTTATCTCATTCATGCATCTATAGATCTTAGTAGCGAAATACATTACACCTTAGTGCTTGGACCATACCCCTTATAGCACAATCTGAGGGTCGATTGTCCGATTGCTGTTCACTTTTTGATTGAAATCGGTGTGTAGAAATCAACTAGCATTTGACACCGTTAACAGCTACACAGAATGCTGTCTGAAAATTCAGAATCATGCAGCAACATATATTTAAAGGGTTTTGTGAGTAGAGGGCTACTAGTATGAGAAAGTTCTGCGAATTTTTCTAAGTGTTCGATTTCCGTCCAATATCGGTGTGTGGGGAACGAGTGCTTTAAAGTCGTGGAAGAACGGTTTATGCGGATGCAAAAAACGTGTTAGCATTGCAACACATGTTCCCTGCCTCAAAAATGGGGACATTGCAAAAGGGTTCCGAGCTTTCTTCCATATCAAACGCTGCCTGAACAATCGCTAACCGGCAACAGTCAATAAGAATAGAGATTTGGAATCGATGGCAAACTGAATTGTTAAGTGCTTCCGATTTTTGTTTTTAGTTTCCGATTTCCGTCCGAAATTTGTTCCATCGTAGGTATTTTCGGAGAGAAATCGGACGGTCACCGGATTGAAATAGTCAACTGTATAGTTGACTAAACCATATGACCTGCAATTCTTTTTGTTACTTCGTCCAGTCAGTCATCTTATTCTACAACGTTAGTATCCGAAGTTTCTAGCGGGTATATGAAGGAGGTGATTCAACCATTTTTAGCGGACCGTAGACGCACCAGTATGTTTGTATCCTAGTGTCAATGGGCGGGCAGCTGGATGGCTCACTTTGTGTTATCACCAGGTGTAATTTGTGCCTCGCAGGCACTGGCGGCTAATGGCAACCAAACGTTTGCTACTTTGAACGCACAGCATCCTTGTTTCCGGACCACCACAGCAATATTGTATCGCTATACTGATTTCCGGCTGTCTCCATAGATGGTTGGGAGTCCGAAAATCTTCACTGGATTTTTTGATCCACACTGACTTCTGTGGCATCCTAACCTACCGATGGGTTATAGCTACGAATGACCACTCAATAATTCTTTGGCACTGGTGAAAACACGTTCTCGCTCTTCCTTGTAACTTTACCATGCTCATTGATGATGCCTATATCTCGGAATGAACAACCAGGGAGTATCATCTGCCCTTCATCAATACTGTTTCGCCTTCCGACCTTTTCCATCACAACTCCATCTGTAGAACAGGGGATTACCGCTGACTTTGCGACGAGCTCTGTGGATTTATGTAGCATGTCCTTCGAACCAAACGTCTCATTTCACATTGCATCGTTTAACGTCTGTACTTTGCATCCGTTCGGAAAACTGCTAGCATCAACTCTTTCTCTTCACTGCTGGTATTGATTTGTGCTGTGCTTCCGAAATGCGCGTACAAGATAACAGCGTGGTAACGAATCTTCGACTACATGGTTCAAAGTCTGTTGACAGTGACTACATTGCGCTTCTCTGGCCCTACTGAGTCCATGACCTAAGGTATTTCGTGTCGGTATTGGCATCAGCAAGCATGCTCAATTCATCCTACTCAACTGCCCACTGCTTAGGGGCCGCATGTCTGCGGTTCGATTTCGAACCTCTGGCGGTTAATAAGCACTATCTGAAGACACGATGCGTTTTCATCGCTTCTATTTACATAGTTCATAAGTTATCAAGTATGAGTTTTATCGCCAGTTCTCGGCTATTATCGGGATCGCGATAAATACCGATGTGATTGTTGTCGGGGATACTAATGTCCAACTTGTTCGCGAGTCCGTTTAAAAGTAGATGCACGCCAAATGTATAGTGGCAACTGATTCTTACAACTATGTACCGATCACAACCTCAGCCTTCCAGCACATCATGTTGCCTGTCGCCCACCGGATTCCTGAATGATCTGTACCCAAAGTTATCATTCTGCCATCACTTACGGATGACGTTCATCGGTTCAACACTGTCGGTCAAGTTAAGTTACTTGCTTGACTTTCGCTCATTTTCTGGTGCTTCGTGCTCACTTCCCCTGATTTGAAAAAACGCTCAACTACAAAGCTCTCCACTTGTAACGAAATCGCAGTCCGCAATTTACCAATCTTATCACGAACTGGCCCACCACTTATCAGTGGTGAATGAGGTTGGTGAACCGAATGCCTTTTTGCACTTGCTGCACGTCTAAGTTGTGGCGTCTGAACTGTGAATGGGTTTCCTAGACATTGACTAGTTTGATTGAAACACGGAAAGAGTGTCCACTGGCTGCGCAGTCTCAACATCATGATTCACAGTTTGGTTTTTGCTGCTTTTTAGTCGACTAGTCAACCCATTACCCATTGAACCATTCTAACACCGCAACTACTGACAACCTGATGGAAATACTGGCTTCAGCTCTTGTCCGTCTCCTTACTGTGAAATGGGAATACTGTATGAGAAGATAGCGAGCAGATTTCCGATTGCGTCTGACCAGCACATATCGTAGTTCCGTTTTGCAGTGGACCTTGAGCCGCGTCACACTTTCGATAGTCCGGCTGTAGCTTTAGCCTTATATTTCAGGCGTTTAACCTGCTCAGTTAATTAGTCCACTTTGATAGTCGCTTCTCTTCTGGTTTCGACTCACAACTAATCGCAGATCGTCTCTGCAGTCCAGTCGGCAAACCCATGTTCATTCATTTCTACTTAGAGACCTCGACCCTTGCTAAGGTAGGTATGCTCCAAGGTGTGCGCTTTGTTACAAATTGGCCACCAGGCGGCACCTTACCGAATACTGGAGACCCTGTCGACCAATATCTGCTGCTTATCGTCAACCCGCTTGCAAGATTCGAGCTCTATGTTTATCCTGCGATCTCCCACATGCGACACTAGCGCCACTTATCTTTGCGCTTGTCCGGAGATGATGCAGCCAGTGGGGCCATCGCTCTGACTCCCCGGGCCGAATCTACCCGGATAGGTTGGATTTCACTCAGTAGCTGGATCTGCGCCGTCGAATTGGCTGACTGGTCCAAACTTCGAAGTCGCGCGGGACCAATACGTGCTTGTTTGTCATTGCTGATTCGGTAAAAAATGGTTTGTCACAAACTTAACTATCACCTTCGTTGCAGAAAATGTACGGATACTGTGGTGCTTGCCGACCCGTGGCCTGAAGATAACAAGTTTGTCTGGTAATCTGACGGCGTGGGTTCGAACCTGCGTAGGGGCAAGGGGACCCTTGCAGTATTCTTAGTCCACGTGCGACCGGTGGTGCTTGCGCGGCAGCGAAGCGTCAGTGCTACGTACTGACACACTGCTAAAGCCTTTCTGCTTGCTGATGATCTGAATGTCCAAGTCGG